AACTGGCTATTGTTATCATATTAAAAAAAATCGTATTGTGATTCCATTTTTAAATAAATTTTGTGCAAGTAATAAGCTTGGTCCAATTTCTAAGAGTTCTCAATTTTACCGAATAATTTTTAAGTTTCTTTCAATTAAGTTTGACCTTTGACTAGTGAAGTGAACTAGTTAAGTCTTTGATATTTTTACATTCGGTAAAAAAGCTCGGTTTTGCCGACAATGGGCAATTCGATTTAACAGGTTACCGGACCTACTTAAGTTATTACTACTATTATAATAACGGACCCATATAAAAACACATTCTCCATTCCATCCGCATAAGCAATAAATCTCTACTACCATTGTTTTCTTTTCTTATTTATAAGTTTTTTATTGCCTGCCAATTTTCTCATCTAATTCCCAAAATAGTCGATTTACGGCAAAACACTTGCACTTTATTATTATACGTAAGTAGGATAAAATCATAGTTGCAAAAATGTGGGCGTTTCATACATCTCTTCACCTTCAAGGATTGTCCGTGTGGTGACGGATTAAGAATACGGCGTATCACCGCCCCTATTCATCCCGTGGGTGTCTTAAGAGCCGACTAAGGGAGCAAACTACACAGGGCAACAGCACTGCAAAGAGAAGGAAGACTTGAAACAAACCCTATACCAAACCGTCTGGCCAGCGTGGTATAGTAGGCCAAAACCTTCCTAAGGATAGGCCTATGTCCAGCAGTGGGTAGTCAACCGCGGGATATAAAGGCTGTTAATGATGATGATGTATGTTTTGTATCGTGTATGTATGTATGTTTTATAACGGACATCCAACGTCGTACGTTATTTAGTACGTATCTATATTTTTGACTATTTGTATAACGTTTTGATAATTTATCTTTAGCCCATATCAGGCTTTTGAACAAGTCTATCCCCTCCATGTCAGTCGCAAAATTAACACATTTTCATAGTCTTCTCTAAAATATACAACGAAAACAGTACAAACAATGCTTCACAGAGTAAACAGTACATCTTGAAACCTATTATTAACGTATCTAAAATTTTAATTTCAAGACGTCCTTTGAGACTGTTTACTGACTTACCTGCTTTCACACTGAAAACGACCCAACGACTTCAAATATAAAGTTGTTATTACTGTTACTTCATAAACTAGGTCGCAGAAACCTTTAAAGCCTTGTTTGAACAAGTGCACATGCTTTCAGGATATAATTTATTTTACCGTTAGCACATAAATTAGCATGGCCGCCATAATTAATATTATTTTCTGAGCAATGTGTATGACACATCGTTTTTGGAAGGACAGTTATTTATTTGTAGGGCCTCGGTCTCACCGTAAGCGGATACTGACATAATTTTGACGGGCCTGTTGGTCTAGTGGTCAGTGGTATTGACTGCTAAGCCAAAGATCGTGGGTCCGATTCCCACCCAGGACAAATAATTGTATAATGAGCACGATCATATGTTATGTCTCTGAGTGTTATTTATCTGTAATATTTATAACTAAATTTAGAAATATCATCATTATCATCATAAGCTTTTAGTAGTCCATTATTAGACATAGGCGTCTCCTTAGGTCTTGGCCTACCATGGCCAGACGGGTTGGTAAAGGGTTTTTTTTATTATTAAGCAGGCACCCGCTCTCACAGGGTGTTACTGTCTGTTCCTAGCACCTCCAGTATTTATTTGAAGTCGTCGTCCAACTGTATCCTTACATAATGATTCTCGCATTTGCTACTTCTCATGCTTTCATTCCACACACTTATTCTTTTTCTCATTCATACCTCGCAGGTGAGATTGCCGCTATTTGCCACATGTGTTCTTTTCTTTTAAACTTAAAGTCGGTTGAGAAGAAGAATTTATTTAAACAAAAACGACGCGTGTAAACCTTAGATATAATTTATTTTTTAAGTTATTCACCTGCAACGAGTTTATAAGAATACTAGAAATTTCTATAGAAGAAGGTAAATACAACACAAAACACACATAACCATTAACGTGGCTGTAACGTACAAGTACCTTCATAAATCTTGGCACGTATTGTTCAACAGCTCTGTTATCGATAAAAAGCCTAGAATAGAACCTTTCGAACGTGTACTTTGATTTTTGTTCGTGAACACTGCTTTGAACAAGAGTACTACCTCGTTTCTTGTTAGTGATTGCTCAGGTAGCTCTTTTGTTTTAAAAATTCTAGATAACACAGACGTTAAAATCTACAGAAATAAATGAAGTAGGCTGTTTGTAATATCTTTAACCAATCAATAATTTTTTTAAATTATCTCCAGAACGAGTGAACCGATTTTCACGGGACTGTCACTGATAGATAGCTAACATTTTCTAGAATGGCTAATACTATTATTATTTAGAAAAATAAACAGGGTTCCGCTCAAAATAAAACAAGTACTACACACGCTGGCGAAGTCACGGCGGGTGATAAATAGCGCATAAAATTAATATTTTCTGTTGAACACCATTAAAGATCGGGTATCATAATCACACAACATTAATGGACCAAAGCAATGTTCATCATCATTTGAAAGCAATTTTATTCCTTCATTTCCAATCGTTAACATTAGAACTGTTTTGCTTCTCATATTTGTTTTTTGTGTGTGTAATAAACATTTACTCTGTGGTACAATCACACGCACGAGTTGTTTAGAAATGCCAATTTATAGACCGCAGTTTGATATTTGTTCTAACAATATCAGTACGTAATTATATTTAGCTTCTTGTTTGAAATAAAAATATATAGAAATGGAACATTATTTGAACAGTGATATTCAATTTTAGCATCAGCATTGAGCGTATTTTCAAATAATATTATGACTAAAATATAGCAATCAAAACTTTTGCAGACCTAAGTACACAATACCCAAAGGATATTTTCTGTTATAAAAAAAAACATCATAAATTTTACATATAAATCTAGTACCCAGATTTATTTTTACTCTCAGATTTTCCTACGTAATATCAGAAGTGATGTAGGCGTACCTAAAACGAATATTAAATTTATCTCTACAGATTAAATCTCGTTGGTGATTAACATATCTAAATCTGTACTAAGAGATTATTACAAACATGCGACTTCACCGCTAGAAAAGGTGGTGGACCGGGTACTTATAAAAAAACCTGTATATAGGAAGTCGCTGGTTGGAAATATTACAAAACTTTCATTTTTGATTAAGAAAGTCAAAACATTTTAAAACATTAACAAATTATGTTTCATATAACAAACGATTGAATTTCCGTTCGACATAATCAGACTTTTCATAAACGCGGTTTTCCTACTTTTACCTACGTTTAATTTCGATATACTCCTAATTTTTTAATATGATTCCTGGAGTGTTTGGTTAACAGTTATCGGCTCGTCCATAGAAGTTATTCACAAAGTGGGCTTTGAATATGCCTCTGCCTACCCCTTCGGAAATGTAAGCGTGAGTGTTAATATTTAGCATTGAATTAAATCAGTTTGCTTCTCTCATATTTCTCTGTCACTTGGGAAATATCGCTAACACTGTATCATAAAGTACACACCGACTCAGAACAAATATTGAATACCACAAATAATAATTATTCCATGTGAGGACTACACAACAAACAATGAACAAATAAACATTGAGAGTCAGCAATTTCAGTCAAAAAAATTTAGCAAATTATAAGGTGCGTTTAAAAACTAATTTTAAAGTTTTAGACAGCATTAAACCAATGATTAATGGAATTTTATTAAAGTCTACAACAATTTTCTTTAATACAGAAAAGTTTCTCGGAGACAAGAACCACTTAGCAAAATTAATGTTTTCTATGTATAAGTTGGTGGTTATAAATTAATGTGGGTGGGAAAAAGTTAGCGTGTGGCTTTATGCCAAGAACCTTTGCGACACACCCTACCATGTTGTATATATACTAATTCTTAATTTCATACAAGTATTTTGCTATGTTTTTATTTTTTAAATCGATATGGTTCCATCGACAAGACATCGGAGGCGAGATTGGAATTCGAACTCTATTCCACTAGGTTTTTTCCACGGCTCCGCCCGCATGTATGTCAGTTGTCGTGGTAAAAGTCTATGTCCTATGTCCTTTCTCAATAATCAAAGTATATCCATACCAAATTTAATTTAAATCGGTTTAGTGGTTATTGGTTCAACATGCAAACTTCCACCCACCTTTTCAGCCTTTTAAATTGATGATTTCTAGGGTAAAAACTAAGGTCCTAAAAAAAGTGTCCTTTGACGGAACTCAAACAATCTCAATACCAAATTTCATCTAAATCGGTCGAGCGGTTTAAGCGTGCAGAGGTAAGGACAATCAGGCAGACACACTTTCGCATTTACGGTGACTGGGATGAGCAAGATCAGAAATGATTGTAAAACGGAGAGATGAGCAAAGTGTTTTGGTAAAGACTTTTACGTATGGAAGTTGAAATTTGCAAGAGAAGAAGATGACCAAAAAAAGACATAGATGTATTGCATGAAAGAAGATGGGTTAGAAAGAGAGTAAGAAGTGAGAAATTTAATGATATTACTCTATCTCTTTCGGGTCGGAGCAATGTGTTTTGTTTTTCCCTATAAACTGGCACAGACCCGATGTAAAGTTGGGAAAAGAGTCGGCAGATAATAAAGGTGATACATGTAGGTGTTACCTAACTTTGAATTACCTCATATTTCAACCAACTCGTACTGACCGTGGTCACAGGCAGATTTAGAGTCAGTCTGGGACCACTCTATTATTACGCGACACACCTAATTTTAATGAGATAACTAAAATTGACTAAGAACTATAAATAAATGAGTATTTATCACATCATAAAGAATAATGTATAAAGTTAAATTATAAAAGCTAATAATTCCCTACACGATGTTTTCATATTATTTACTTTAAATCAATTTTCCGCATGATAGTACACCAAAGTACACATTAACACGACTTTCACTTTTGATCGGCATGTTACACCCAACGTACTCGTACATATGCAGGTGCAGGCGAGTGAGAAAGTGTAATTACCTCAAGATTGTCAAAGTCGACTTTGATGAGCCGACGCTGGGGCTGCGCGTGCGGTGTGACGTCACCACCACGCCGCGCGTCGCCACCACCAGGACCGCTACCAGCGCCGCTTGTAGCTGAAACAATGAAAGACGTTGTTAGTAAAGGTATAGTATTTTTTGTTTTAAGAACGGCAACACCAGCATTAGGAATATATTCTGTGTCGAGGGGACTTTAAAAATGTTCATTCAAATGTACACACAGAACACCCAGTCTCAGAACAACAATTTGTGGATCACACCACTACGCCATCCGTTCATGTAGGTTACATGCAATATATGAAAAACTTTATTGTAAAGAGTTTTCTTATTGGAAAGAGAACACTACAAGTCGTAAAGTAGAATGAGACTGTGCCTCGTACACAATTTAGTTACGTTTAGGATCTAGTATACAATTCTCGTTTAGAATCTACAAATAAGATCTAATCTTCGATATTATATTAAATTCTCACTAGACTAGTTGTCACATGGCTAGATTGAAGAATACTCGTAGAAGTACAGATTTTGCAGACTCTATAATGATGGAGTCTGCAAAATCTGTACTTCTTCTGTGCTTGTGATACTTTGTATTGACAAAGTACCACAAGCCTTCACTGAAGTAGAGTAATATAGTGCAGTTTACCATATTCTTTAAGATTCGTGTGTGTATTTCGAGTAAATTAAAATATAGAGTTTATCTAATATATGTCGCATCACAATGTTTGTTTTCGAACTCCTCCGAAACGGCTTGACCGATTTTAATGTTTTTTTTTGTATATTTGGTAGGTCTGAGAACAGGTCGTAAGCTATTTAATATACCCCTAGGTGGTAAGGGTGACCCTCCCTAGAATTTATGTTTATTGCAAATATGTCAGTAATACATTGAATTACGAAAATGAACGGTTAGTGTTTTGTTATTTTTATAGGCCGTCATAGGCCACAGCGCTCCATTCTTCTTTCAGTCACAGACCCTATCCCAACATTCTTACAATAAGTTAGTTATTTTTTATTTAACTTCTAAAATATTCACTAGAAATAATTTATGTGGCAAAACAACGTTTACCGGGTCTGCTGCTATTATAAAAAAATATATATTATTAAACAGCACTAAGAACAGATGTGTAAGTGGCTGCCTACCATCAAATAGGTCACTTACCATAACCACCTGTTTTATTATAAAATAGTATTGCTTTACTTCCAAAAGCTGTGGTTTTTATGAAGGTAAACAATTTGGTAGGATATCGTTCTATTGCTGTTAATCCCGACGGATCTGAAGGTAATTTCGACGGCTCACAGCCGATGTAAACGTACAGATTGAAGCCCTCGTATATTTTACAAACTTGCTACATTTTTAGAATAAAAATACATCGAGAGTTGGATAAAAATACTGGCAATATTTTATCAAAGGACTACACAAAAAGATATCCCGCCTTATAAATATTACAGCTAATAAATAAAATAAAATATTATGTTATCATTGAAATACGGTTTTATTTTGAGTCGTGAGAAATCAAACAGCAATTTCGAACATTATTTTTAGGCACTAAAAAGAATTCAATGCGAAAAAAACACATTTTGTTTTATCGTTATTTCCGTTTTCTTTCAAAACAGAGAGTGGTTAGAATAGTATTAGTGATAGTAAGTTAAAATATCAAAAATGTAAAGTTGGATGAGAATTATTCTTCCTCGCGGACTCGAAGACGGACATCGTGCACAAGTGAGGACGCGAGTGATCACGGTTAGTGCCACGGTGGAAACGTCAATTCAAGGGATGTAATGCCTATATTGTGATCGCATTCATTCCCATAGGTTTATATCATTACCAAAAATAAAATCTAAATATTAAGAAACACATAAAATGAGGTCACTAATAAATGATTAAAAAACGTCGATTCCTGCAGACTACTACTAGTGCCTACCTCTCTTAAGCTTCGATCTATTTATATATAAATGGAATGCATTGATAAGTAATAGTAATCTCTTCAATAAACTTAATACTTTTTGATTATACGTCTTGCAAGACCCCAAAGGTGAATGTTTTATTTACGTAACATAATAACCTAGTTAACTAATGATTGCGACCCTTTATCAGCATCAAAAAGTTCATAACCGCAAGATATCACGTAAATATAGCGGCATTTAATGTCACAATGTAAAATATACCCTAATTTGATAAAGTATTTTACAAGATTATATTTTCTTTTTATATTACCTTTGAACTTAGCTTATTTTTGTATTCAGTACGGTAGTTGACTGTTGAGTCAAATCAGTTTTTTCAACGTCAAACGGCAGGGCACCGTCAAACTTCAAAGGTGAAAACAATTCTAAAGTAACAGCATGATAAAAATAATAATTACGTAATAAAACTGGACAAGTGCGAGTGGGATTTGCACACGGAACCCTTTTCGGTGTCAACGTACAAGATTTAACAAATCGGTATTAATTTCATTGTTCTTTTATTCTACCTTTAACTTTTATTTTATTTAGTAATTGTTCTTAGAGCGGCTAAAGAAAGACTTAGATTTTTTAACCAGGTACATGAATAATTTTTCTTTCTTTAAATTTATTCATGTGGTCCAGGTACCTACATCTTTCATGAGATAGACCGTTTACAAAAAGTGAAGTTTTAGTTTAACTTAATTTTACATCTTTTGGAAAAGAAACCTAATATTTTACTTCATATTTCGATAAATGTTCATTTACTAATCTTAGTAGAATGCGGATTTTTAATAACGTAAAAACAGCAATTTTACAAATAATTCATTAATTAATAACATAACTTTCGGTTATGTTATTTGTATCCAGTACCGGGTCACGAATTACCTTGAATCTTTAAAGTTTACTTTAGTAAAATACCTTTCAAGAACCGCACAAATATAACAAAACTCGCAACCAAGTCCTAATATTCGTATAATTTTCACTTATTCTTTACGATTCGTTCGTGTTTAAGGGTTGTGTTACGCAAGTCTATCACAGAAACAACTGCGGTTTATTACTGCGTGTTACAAAGTATAAAAGCCAGCCGTGTGAACGCGGGCAACATTTTATTTAAACGTTAACACAATAGAGACGACGAGGGACTTGAAACAAAATTAAAAGTTTTCATTGTTTCACAGAGCATTGGGGAAATAAATGTTTGTAGTTTATGTGATTCTGTTTGCTTTGCAGACGTTAATTTTTAATCTTCAGGATGGTTCCTTCTTTTTAAATGTAAATTATTTAACTGACGTTTTTAATCATCATAATTATAACCATAAGATATCTGCTACTGAATTTAGCTTTCTCTTATTAGCTTTCAAAAAGAGCTCTCAGTATCAACCGCTTATAACCTGTAAGCGGTTGATACTAAGATCAATGGTAGGGCACAAATTCTGGCACTAGTTTCATATATTTATCTATAATAAGTTATGAATTTATATAATAGGTACGCGTGTACTAATGCACGCACTACACGCGTACCTATTCATAAATTTTACTTAAGTATTGCAATGTGACAAAACTATTAATTTACTCGCTTGAAGTATTAGCAAACATTTGTAGCGCAATTATCACGGTTCGACACTTCAATTAAGGACTTCACGCACACAGATACAGAGTGTGTAAACATCACTATACATTAATTAATTCTCACGGAGCATCACTATGTAAAGGAACTATATAAGTTTAAAAGTATTTTGGAGAAAAACATTTTTGTGAAATCGTTCTGAATGTCTTTTTAACTTAGTACTCATATTAATATTTCATACAATTTGTTTTTCATTTTTTGTTTGCACTCTCATTTTAATTCACGAAAAGGGAAAATGCTTTTGACACTTGATATGGATACCGACTTTGCCTCGGTGGAGAAGTGTCAATCTATTTATTTTCAGTTTGTAGGCCAAAAGATTATTTAAAGAATACATCAACCAACAAAATGTAGGTAGTAAAGGGCGTTAAATTATAACAAATATTAGTAGAATTTGGTAACGCTCCCTGGCAACATAGTAAAAGTAATAGGTGATTTATTAGTTATCACTAACGAACAATTATATGACGAAAGCGCAAACTATTTGGACAAGACAAGTAGTTTATTGCTATCTGTTTCATTAGTAAACGTGCAACGCGGTATGCAAATTGGCAGTAAAAAGCAATAAAAGATAGAAGATCGATACCACAGTAAGCACAACATGTAACTTTTACGATATGGTAGTTATAGTAGGACGGATAGCATGGTATTACCAATAATTTAGTGCCATGTAGTAAAAACTCTTTAACACCCGCAATATACTCGTATATGAGTTTAGTAATGATGAGCTTAGTAGTGAATGCGCTGTGAATCTCTGTAACAAGCAGTCGGTATAAAAAAATGACAGTACAGCACGAAACTTTGACTACAGTCAGTCAGACAGTCAAAAGTTCAAAATTGGAACGGGAAAACACGAAACTTCAGTGCGATATACTGAATAACCAAACCAACCCTGAATCCAAGTGTGTTTTTGATCCAAAACCAATACCAGCCATGGTTATAAGTTTGAACACAAAATATCTATCATACCTATGTTTAAAGGCTGTCAATGATAAAGGGTTTTTTTCTTATCGTACGCACATTATGGAAGCCGTGTCCCGGATCCTATTTTTAATTTGACCTTGTCTGCTGCAGTAGGTTATAAATAAAGAATATATTTACAATGAAAAGTGAAACAATAACACAACTTTATTAATTATAGAAATAAAATACTCTAATAAAAAGAAAAACAATAAAATGACAACATCTACAAGGCATGTAATCTTGTTTTCTCACATAGGATTGCTAAAATCTAAAGAAATCTATACTTCGAACACAACCCGCGATACGTCATATTGTTTATTGACTTCTTTTCAAATCCGTTTATGTTTACATACGTTTAGCAGAAAATATCTTGTATATATTGGGTATTTATGATAGTAAGTGGAACCTTTTACTGGCAGTAGATAAGTAGAGAAAAGGTAACTTGCAGATAAGATACCAGCTGTTCTTATGTATATTTATTTGTCGTAAATTACTTACTTAAGCCATGAATATCATAATCAATTCTAATAAAACCTAGAAACACGTTAGAAACGTCACCACATGCAACCATTTACTTGTTTTCAAATGAATTTAAAAAAAATATCCAAATGGGCACTTACTTTAGGATAACTACTTTTAGAATGATTTATTACATTAGATGTAATACAAACAAAACTATCAACACTGAATATACTATTTTTTTCTATTACAGTTTTTTTATTTCCAACATGATAAGATCATGTCACCGTAACCTTGACATAAACAAGAAAGTAAAGAAATTCACTATCAATCTCTGTCAATCCTTAGGTCATTAATATTCTGTTCACACGATTTTAAGCTAACTTTAGCCGTGTAGAAGATCACCTAAAAATAGAGAAAATATTTGGACGTTTTACATTTAGAACAACAGCTGTGAATATATCAAATGAATTGTAAAGTTTCATGTAAAATGTTACAGTTCCTAACTATTAAATTTTACGACTTATTGTCATTTGCGAGATATTTCATAAGATTAAAAAATTACAAAAAAAAAAACAGTTCCAGTCTCATCAACAATACAAAATTTAATCTGATTATTTCAGATAAAATAAAAAATTACAACGGAAATGTCTGCCGTGATTCCAGGTCAGTTTTAGTCTTGGGGTGCGTGGTCCGGAACCTCCTTGTGGTGCACCCTGGGCAACGGAGACGGCAGCGCCTCTCTCCCTAGGTGGGAAAGGCGCTGCCGCCTGCGGCCAATTCCGGCCGAGGTGGGAACGGCCCGTCAAGGGCTGTTCGGAGGGCTGCTTTCCGCATGTCCCTCTGTTTGGCAGAGGGCATAGGGGAGAGCGGGCTGGGGGCGGACGGGTCCACTGCCGCTGGCTCTGTCCAGAGGTGGTGGACACTGGTCTGACGCAGACCACCGTCCGGCCATGTCGTAACCCTGACTGGCAACAGTCAGGAATGACGGCTCTTCGAGGGCTACGAGGAAGGCAACCTCTATAAAAAACCCTGGGGCGGACGGACCCGGTCTGGTGCAGACCCCGTCCGGCCCAGCCGTAATCCTGAATGGACAGGACCGGTGGATCTTCGGATCCGCGAGGACGTAAACCTCTATAAAAAATGCTCTAAGCCCACGTTCTGACGCCTGG